CTTTACATTTGCATTTGGGAGCATTCCCCTAGTTTTAGAGTATAAAGGCTTAAAATGTGCCAGGTGCCTTCCTAACTCCTGCCTAAATCAGCTACAGCAGAGGGTGAGGATGAGAAACGTGTCAGGAGGGAAGCTGTGTGCTGCCAGCCTGCCGGAGCTGCCAAATGAGCCTGTTTATGATGATTCAGATGCTGATGAAAACAGAAGCACCAGGTCAGTGCTCTGTTCAGAGCCCACCCCATGTGGCCAACCCCAAAGATGCATCTACCCCAGGCGTTCGCCACTGCTTCAAAACCACTCGTGCTTTAAGTACCACAGGGAGCTGGGCAATGGGGAAAACCAAAGCCTGGCAGAGAGGCTGCAATACACATTAGCTTCTGTGCTCCCCACATGGGGGAATTAAATCCTTCCTGGGCATCCCTCTGAGCTCTGCTGATGCACGCAGCTTTCCATGAGGGCTGGAGCAGGATGCCAAATCAGGGCAGGGAAACTCAGTTTTGCAGCTGCAGAATGGATGCCTCGGGGGGAAGAAGACTGGGGGTGAACACTGTGGCTTTGGGGTATGAGTAGCAGAGGGCTGTGATGGGATCCCACGTGCTCTGGCTGAATATAAACTGTGTGGTTTTGAGTACAAGAATCTCCCCATCTCCTGTGATCCATTATATGGTCTATTCCTGCATCACAACAGCAAAACATCAGCTGCTTTCAAGGAAGAGTGATGGGGAAGGGAGGGAGGATGGGGAGAGTGGAAGTGATGGCCTTTGCTCCCCTCTTGGTGCCAGATGTGGGGAGCTGCCTGCTGTGGGGATGGTTCCATGGCTGTATCACACACCCTGAACAATCCCACAGCAGCAAAAGCATTAACTATCATAAGGCAGACAGACATCTCCTATCCATCCAGGCACAAGCTGCCTGCTGCTCTCTGCAGGCTGTTTTCTCACCAGGCAGCTTTACCTCTGCCTTTTGGTGCTCAGCTCCTGTCTGAGGACAGCATCTCAGCACCCAGCTGGCATGGGAGCACTCCCCATCTGCTCCAGTGCAAAGTCAAGTGGCTCAAATCCCTCTGGGATCCCCTGTGTCGACTCACACTGTGGCAGACGAAGAGATCTCGCATCCTCTGCTCCATGAACAGAGCTTGGGGCAGCAAAAAGCAGCTGGGAGGCGAGGGGGGAAGCTGCTGGAGCTGTAATCCTCTCAGGAGAGGTGAAACAAGCAACCTGGGTGGAGAATAGGAGGTTAGGGGTCGGGGGGGAAGAGGGAAGATGAAATGAAGACTTCTGGAGACAGCCACTGACTGCGTTGTGAGCAGAGGGAAGAACCTGGACAGTACAACCAGAGCCAAGCGTTGCGATGCTGTGGCACAGCCCAAGCCTTGCAAAGCCAGCAGCAGCAGCAAGCAGGAGCTGGATTTCAAAGCTCTGGCTGTGCTGTCCAGCCTGACCTAGCCACGAGTGAGAGATGTGCCTTTGCTCGACTGCAGACAGGCAGCATGCAGGGGCCAAAGCTCAGACCTGGGGGAACGAAACCCCATCCCCTCCAACATCATCTCCCAGCACCTCCCAGAGGTCCTGGAGGACACTGAGGGGCTGCTTCAAGCTGCAATAATGATCTTGGACAAGAGGAGGTTTATCTGCCCCAGGCTTTCCAAAACACTTTCCTCTCTGACTCTGTTTTCCGTGTCTCCTACCTATTTTTCCATTAGAGACAAGCAAGCACTATTCAGACAGGCCATTTAGTGAAACCAATACCTATTTGCTGCTGAAGGTGATCCTGCCTATGAAATCCAGCATTCTGCTGTCACCAGAAACACTCCCCTTGGTGCCAACAGACCCACTGCAAAGCCCCGGTGTTCACCCACCAAAGGTGAATGTTATGTGCTGCTAATACCATCCATGCTGTTCTGTATTAAGCTGTGACACATTTGGGAAGGTATTCCCAAAGTAAAGGAAGAGAATTATTCCTCTCTTTCCTTACTCCTAATCCAGCAAAATAAAGGAACAGGGGAGTGAGGCTGGCACGGGTCAAGATACGTCAAAAGCACCTTTGAAAGAAACAGGTCCAAGTGGCCTTTTGCCCATGACTTTCACCCACCCCCAGCCTCAATCTTTGTGCTCTTTGAAGTTTCAACAGCATCCCTCTTCCAACTCAACCTACGCCTCTCCTCAACTCCCCTCTCTTCCTGTTATCCTGAGTAATCAGCCTGCCTCCCTCCTCCTTCCTTCTTGCTCAACCACAGCCAAACTCCTTCCCACCTCTGGGCAAGTCTCTGCAGAGATTTCGCTTCCAGTGACGCCCCAAAAAGGCACTCGGAGTTTTGGAGCTGGGCCCTGCAGCTGCAGATCCACTTTGTGGAGGTCCTCTGGGACGGAAACATCTTTGTGTCAGCGTCTGGGTCACATTTACAGACCAGCTCTAGGCCAGGAACACGAGTGCAGGGCTCAGTGTTAGCTGGATGTGAGGAGTGGTCCAGAGAAGCTGTGGCTGCCCCATCCCTGGCAGTGTTCAAGGCCAGGTTGGACACAGGGGCTTGGAGCAAGCTGCTCTAGTGGAAGGGGTCCCTGCCCGTGGCAGGGGTTGGAGCTGGAGGAGCTTTAAGGTCCCTTCCAACCCAAACCAGTCTGGGATTCTGTGACAACATTCCTGGAAGGATGCTGCCCACCAGAGTATGAGCTCCCTGAAAGGGGATACAGCTGCACCCTGCCTTTGGGTCCCTCTGTGCTTTAGGTCCCCCTGAAACCCTCAGCCCCCCCCTGAAACCCACACAAGACCCACACGAGGAGCACACCCAGCCCTGCTTCCCCCTGCCCAGCACCACTGGTGCTACCCGAGCACCGGTCCCTCCTGCTGACACTGAGAAGCTCCGGATGCCGGCAGTCAGGGCCACGCTGGGAGCAAACCAGCTCATTTCGGCCACGAGCCTGCAGTTAACACCCACCCCAGGCTGCAGAGGAGAACAGGAGAGAAGGAGCTTCCACACACCCCCCCCCCAATCAGATTCCAACGTCAGAGTGAACAAACGTCACCCTTTGTGTGCTGGTGCTGCTTTATCCCCGCTTTCAGCCCCTCCCGCGCCTGGGAGCCTCCGGGAACAGGGAAGGCCCGGCCAGCACCGGGGCGATGCAGCGGCTCCTCACACCCATGGCCATTCCGACACACGGCATGGGTAGCACGAGCACGTAACACGCACGCATGCACACACACGTGTAACGCGCACGTACATGACACGCTTCCAACGCGCACTCGTTGCACGCACACGCTTCACACGCACACGTGTAACACACGTGTAACATGCGCAGCACGCGTGTAACACGCGCATGTACATGAAACACTTCCAACATGCACTCGTTGCACGCACACATGTAACACGCACACGTGTAACATACGCATAGCACACATGTAACATACGTGTAACACACGTGTAACACAGGCGCACGTGACCCGCACACGTCGCACACACGTGTAACGCGCACGTACATGACACACTTACAACACACACTCGTTGCACGGACACATGTAACACATGTGTAACACAGGCGCACGTGACCCTCACACGTCACACACACGTGTAACGCGCACGTACATGACACGCTTACAACACACACTCGTTGCACGCACATGCTTCACACACACGTGTAACAACACGCACACATGCAACATACTTGTAACACACGTGTAACACAGGCGCACGTGACCAGCACACACATGTAACACGCACGTACATGACACGCTTACAACACGCACACGCTCGCACACACACGTGTAACATACGTGTAGCACACGTGTAACATACACGTAGCACACGTGTAACATACGTGTAGCACACGTGTAACACAGGCGCACATGACCCGCACATGTTGCATACACGTGTAACATGCACATACATGACACGCTTACAACACGCAGTCGTTGCACGCCCACATGTAACACGCACACATAACACATGTGTAACACACGCGCATGTGACCAGCACACACATGACACGCTTACAACACGCACACGCTTCGCACACATGTGTAACATACATGCTAGCACACGCACACATGTAGCACACGTGTAACACGCTTCGCACGCACACATGTAACACACGTGTGACATGCACACGTGACACACGCACGTACATGACACGCTTACAACACGCACTCGCTGCACGCACACACTTCGCACGCACAGATGTAACACACGTGTAACGCGCACATGACACGCGCACGTACATGACACGCTTACAACACGCACTCATTGCACGCACACATGTAGCACGCACACATGTAACACACGTGTAACACACGCGCACGTGACCCGCACACGTCGCACACGTGTAATGCGCACGTACATGACATGCTTACAACACGCACACATTGCACGCACACGCTTCGCACGCACACATGTAACACACGTGTGACATGCACACGTGACACACGCAAGTACATGACACGCTTACAACACGCACTCATTGCACGCACACATGTAACACGCACACATGTAACACACGTGTAACACACGTGCACGTGACCAGCACACACGTAACGCGCACACACGTGTAACATACGCGTAGCACACGTATAACACACGTGTAACATACGCGTAACACACGTGTAACATACGCGTAGCACACGTGTAACATACGTGTAGCACACGTGTAACACAGGCGCACGTGACCCGCACACGTTGCACACACGTGTAACGTGCACGTACATGACACGCTTACAACACGCACTCGCTGCACACACACGTGTAACATACATGTAACACAGGCGCACGTGACCCGCACACGTCGCGCACACACGTGTACCGCGCACGGAGCGCTGCAGGCCCTGTTGCGGCGGGGCCCGGGCAGGGCCGGGGGGGGGGGGGGGGGTGTCCGCACTTGCACCGTTCCCCTCTCCCCGTGAGGGGGCAGCGGAGGGGACAGGGACGGGAACAGGAAGGGAAATGAAGGGGAAAGGGACGGGACGGGACGGGACGGGACGGGTCGGGACAGCGGCCGCACCGCTCGCACTCACCGGGGCCCGGCTCCGGCCCTGCCGCCCGCCAGCCCCTCCGCCCGGCCGCCCCCGGCGCTTCCCGGTACTTCCGGTCACGTGACGCTGACGCACTGCCGCTCGTACGGCAGCCGAGCGGGACCCCACGCGGCAGCGGCGGAGCCGGCAGGTGGCGGCAGCGGCGCGCGGCCCGCCCGGACGTGAGCCGGACGGTGTGGGTCACGTGACACCTGTCATGGCGGCCACCGTGAGGGCGTGGAGCTGGTGCTGCCGGGAGGGCCCGGAGCCCCCCATGAGCCCCCCATGAGCCCCACATGAACCCCACATGAGCCCCACATGAGCCCCCCATGAGCCCCCCATGAGCCCCACATGAACCCCACATGAGCCCCCCATGAGCCCCACATGAGCCCCCCATGAGCCCCCCATGAGCCCCACATGAACCCCACATGAGCCCCCCATGAGTCCCCCATGACCCCCCCATAAGCCCCTCATGAGCTCCCCATGAGTCCCCCATGAGCCCCCAATCAGCCCCCCATGATCCCTCCATGAGCCCCCATGAACCCCGCATGACCCCCCCATGAGTCCCTCATGAGCCCCTGATGAGCCTCCCCATGAGTGCCCCATGAACCCCACATGAGCCCCCCATGATCCCCCCATGATCCCCCAATCAGCCCCCCAGAAACCCCCCATGAGCCTCCCCATGAGCCCCCCATGAGCCCCCCATGAGCCCCCCATGAAACCCACATGAGCCCCCCATGAGCCCTCCCATGAGCTCCCATGACCCCCCCCATGAGCCAATCCCTGTCCCCCATGGGTTGCTGCTGCTCAACAGGGGTGGCAGGGTCTGGCCTTTGGGCGGGTGCCCTGTGCTGGGGTGGGTTGGGGTTGGAACGGAGTGCGGTGGGGGTGTGGGGTGATGCCCTTCCTTGCAGCCCCAGAATGGGTCTGTTTCCCGGTGTGAAATACACGATTCATGCGCAGGAGATGAGGTACGTGTTTATTGCGAGAAAAGGGGGGCTAGGTGACATCCCATAAGGCCACTCCCCACCGATTCCATGGATACCATTCGGATCCGGTTGGTAACTCCCCAGAGCACCGCCGGCGCTTAGTGATGGGTCAGTTCATGTACATCAGGTTACATCAGGGCTCCCTCACCGCAGGGAGGGGTGTTGCAATCTGAGCGGGGGTCTTGTGTCTTATGGGTGTGATTTGTAGTATTTTAATGGGGGTATAATGAGGGTCATCTAAAGAGGACCCCGGCCCTGTTGGGTTGACAAAGTAACCTCTTAGAATCCCAGAGTGGTTTGTGTTGGAAGGGACCTTAAAGCTCACCCAGTCCCAACCTGTGCCACGGGCAGGGACCCCTTCCACTAGAGCAGCTTGCTCCAAGCCCCTGTGTCCAACCTGGCCTTGAACACTGCCAGGGATGGGGCAGCCACAGCTTCTCTGGGCACCCTGTGCCAGCGCCTCAGCACCCTCCCAGGGAAGAGCTTCTGCCTAAGAGCTCATCTCAGTCTCCCCTCTGGCAGGTTCAAGCCATTCCCCTTGGCCTGTCCCTACATCCCTTGTCCCAAGCCCCTCTCCAGCTTTCCCATAGCCCCTTACATATTGAAAGGCCACAGTAGGGTCTCAATATCTTGACAATGTTGATGTGTTTTCAGGATCTCTGAGTCTTCCAGGATGGTTTTAGAGGACCACTGAATTGAGATGGGAAGTGCAGCCCCTGCTCAGGCTGAGCAAGAGCCCATTGACCACGACTGTGACCATACAGCTTTTGAGTATCTCTTCTTTCTTCCTTCCCTTTTTATCCCCTGGTGACTGGGGACACCCCATCCTCAGGAGACCAAATGGAGTTGGAGGGGAGCTGCTCTGGTTGTAGTGAACTGCAGGAAAAGCCTTGTGCTGCTGGCAGCACCTTGGACCTTAAACTGGGTCTGAGAGGAATCACTGAGCCCCAGACACGCTCGCTTTGCCCTGGGAGGCATCAGCTTTGTTGTGAGGGGATGGGAGACCTCTCAGGGAAAGCTGGTGCTGGGAAAAGCGCTGGGTTTATTGGTTTTTAGTAAAGGTAACGTTAATCTGAGTGTGCTTCAATGTGACACTGCCAAAGCAGCTGGGGTGGGATTGGTTTGAGTCAAAGCCCGTAACCTGGCAGGAGTTTTGGTTCCAAAACCACCTCCCTGGCAGCATCCTCCTCCCCATCCCAGCCCCTGGGGGATCCAACAGGGATCTGATGCGTTTCAACTGCTTGTGTTTCCCACCCCTTCATGCTGGGAATCAGCCCTGTTCTCCAACCCGGCGCTGGGATGCCCGTCAGTGAACATCCCACACCTCGCTGCCCCGTTCCCCTGCAGCCTGGATGGCAGCTCCCTCAATCCCTCTCCCTTCCCAGCCTCGCAGCCTGGCAGAGAGTTTGGGTGGCAGCCTCTGAATCCCAAAGCCGGGAAAGCCCAGAGAGATGCTGCAGTGGGAGATGGGGCTGCCCCAAGCACAAGAGGGAAGGGGAATTGGCTTGTGTGGGGTTCCCATCACTGCAGCTGGGTCTAGGGCTGTGCCTGGCATCACCACTTGGGTCTTGGCATTCCCAGCGTGTCCTTACCTGGATGTTCCTCAGGTCTGAGCATGGCTTGGGAGCCAGGGGTGGTAGGTCTGGAAGCAAGTTAGTTACCTTCATAGGGAGGAGGCCACGAGGATGCTCAGGGGCTGGAGCATCTCCTGGATGGAGACAGGCTGAGAACATTGGGGCTGCTCAGCTTGGAGAAGAGAAGGCTGCGTGGAGACCTTGGAGAAGCTTCCAGTGTCTGAATGGGCCTAAAAGGATGCTGGGGAGGGACTCTTCATCAGGGACTGTAGTGACAGGACAAGGGGTGATGGGTTCAAACTGAAACAGGGAAAGTTCAGGTTGGACATAAGGAAGGAATTCTTCCCTGTGAGGGTGCTGAGGCACTGGCACAGGGTGCCCAGAGAAGCTGTGGCTGCCCCATCCCTGGCAGTGTTCAAGGCCAGGTTGGACACAGGGGCTTGGAGCAAGCTGCTCTAGTGGAAGGTGTCCCTGCCTGTGGCAGGGGTTGGAGCTGGAGGAGCTTTAAGGTCCCTTCCAACACAAACCACTCTGGGATTCAATGTTGGGAAGCCTTGGACATTGGCTGTGGGACCGATGGAAAGCCTGTGTCTTTCTCAGTCAGCCCTGGGTCACCCCCAGCAGCTCCAGACTCACCCACGGCGATCTGAGCTATGGGCTGAGGTGAGATCTCAAACACAGACACCTTGTCCAGCCTTGTGGCCACCACCATGGCTTCATGGTGCTTGAAGAGCCCGAGCAGCCCTTTTACCATGGGAGAAAGCAGGACCGGGCAACATCCCATCCATCCCAGATCACCTCCACCTCTCCCCTCCTCTTCGCCTTCTGGAGCAGGAGCTTTGATGAAGCTGTGACCTGGAGGGTGCTGCTATGTCCCAGGTGAGCTTTTCCCTGCAGTCCCCCAGCCTGGCTGCGCATCCTTCCCGAAATCCCTGTGGATCTCATCCCTTCTCCCACCCACAACACAATCAGAGCAGCCACAGGGAGCTTTTTAAAATGGGGCCTTTCTCCAGTTTATTTTGCCCAGTAAAAATCCTTCACAGTCAGGTGGAGAGAGGAGAGATACGTATACATATAGATCTGCATATATATATATATACATACCTCTGTACAGATAGATATTCACCGTAGAAAATCGCAAAGGCAGTAGCTCTTCACACCTTGAGAACCCAATGGAAACATACAACAGACCAGCAGTAGATGGGGAGATGGAAGGGGGTGTTTTTCACGAGAATTCCCAAAAACAGATACACTTTTGCTGTACAAAAAATACCCCGGAACGCTGCGTTTTGATCCCTTTTCTGTATCGACCTCTTGCCGTTAAACGCCAGAGGCGAAGTCAAGACAAACGGTGTTTGGAAGTGAGCGGTGGATAGGAAAGACACCCAACTTTATGAATCTCTTTTAAATATTTCATTTCTTTTTTTTTTAAAGTATATCTATATATATATTTATATATTTTTATTGTTTTTATCTTCATTTCTTTCTGCAAAGTCTCATTAAACGCAGTTCGGAGACCCAGCAACAGTCAACGCGGAGACGAAACAGTAACAGAGTCGAGATCAGAACACTTCTGGTTTGGAATTCACAGTCAAGAGCAGAAAGAGAGACCAAAGGCGTCAAGAAACGAACAAGAGGAAAGAAAGCACAAGGCTGGGCTTGAATTTACACTCGGGAAGGTCCAAAACAGTCGGACCAAGGGTCTGATGCGGAAGGTCCTACACACAGACGCAGCCTGCAGCTCACCCGGTGGTGGAGCAGCAATGGAGAGCTCTGCCTGCTCCTCCGTGGGGCTTTTATTGCTGGTGAAATCAGACAGCAGGCTTGCTCGGGGCTGGGGGTGGCCCCGGCTGGCCCAACCTGATGTCCTCCCATCAGGGAGCTGGGTGTTGGGGATGGACACCTACTGACCTGCTGGAGAACGGACGCACAAGAGGGGCGACTGAGCGACGTGCATCGGTTTAGGAGGAGGAAACCCTCACTAGCGTACTGCCCGGGGCAAGGCAAAGACCAAGAGGGTTTCCTCTCGGCTCACAGCGATTACCAGGTCCGAGGGAGTGCAAACGAAGACACCTTGGAGGAGCTCCAGCCCTCCGGCTGGGCTCTGTGGGGACGCCGCTGCGTGGAAAGGGACTGCATAGACACATTGGTCGGTTGTGCAGCATTTCATTGCACCGGTGCTGCTGCAACGCTTCTGGCACCGGTGCTGGAGCTCTGCCTGCGTGTGTGTTGCTCCCTTCAGCCTCCAGAAGGGAACCCAAGTGTCATCCATGGGGAAAAAGGGGATCTTCTCATCCGAGAGAGGACAGCCTGGCTCTTAGGAATGGCAGAGCCAATGCCATGCTCTCCCACTGGCGTCTGGTTGTCACCAAATGTGATTCCTTGAGCTCAGACACGCCAGCAGCTCCCATGTGGATGAGCTAATGGAGAAGATCCAGTGACAGTAATGGGATGGGTACCAGAAGGGGGTGGACCTCCTGCGGACCCAGACCGGTGGCCTGCTGGATATGGGCAGCTTTGGGCTCCCCAGATGAATGGGGACCACCAAGCTCAAGCCATTGGT